GTACTTTGCAGTTTTTACTTGAAAAGTACTCTATGGATAAACCTTTATTATTATTATTGCTAATCAAGTAGATAAATATTAGTGTCATAGATACTGAGTAGAAAAGTTGTCTGTGTTGCAGGAGTGGTTTGAGATATTTTGATAGGTCTTTCAAAACAACTTCTATACTTCAGGAAGGAACTAAAAACTTAAATCGTTTTATCAATAAAATATCAGAAAATAACGTAAAAAAATCCAAATCACAATTTCCTGGAGCCCAACAAGAAGAAGAGTCTTCAGATTGCTCGCTCTGGCAGACAAACAGTCTAAAATGCAAAAAGGTTAAATTTGCTCTCACATAAAAGGGGAAAAAGCAACAAGAACCTCACATTGAGAAACTGGAACCAATAATATTTTTGATTTTGATTATTTCACTCACTCTGCTCATAGTTTCTTCAAAATGAACTGAAGGATTGAATTGTGGAGAATCTAACTGATCTAACGTAGTATCCGTACTGACAAAAGCTTAAACATGTATATTTGTGTAGTTTTACTATATTTGTTCAGCAGCTTAGAATACGCTGAAATGGGCGACACAGTGGGTTTTAAGAGTTTTTATACATCCAAAGAACTTCTATAAAATCCAGACCAGGCCTCTAATTAAGACCTGCTTTTATTTGTTGAAACATGTTGCCACACCAGGCTAGTAAAGAGAAGCTGCCTATGATTGCGACCTTATTTTTAATTGAAGTTTTACAGCATATTACTTACTTAATTTTCTGTTGCTTTCCTAATCCATTAGTCGGCTGATTATTTTACAACCTTGTAAGCCTCCGGGCAGTGAGTGTTTGACAGAAACTGAAATCACATTTAGTCATCCCTTTTTGTTGTCAAAAATAACGTGGATGTGTTGTTGTAGCAGACAAAACAGTGTGAATTAATTTCAGTAGGACAGTAGGAAGGTGATGACAGTAATGTAAGCAAGCCATGCTTCTGTGTGGTTCAAGCAGAGAGCTGTCTCTCACAGTACTAAGGCTTTTCTGAAGGCTATAATAATTCTTTGGCAGCATGAAACAAACAACTGAGCGTTGGTCGGTTTGGTTTACACAGAACAGACACAGATACATACAAACAGCCTACATTCACTATATAGAATAATGTCTTAGCTCATTCTCCTCTTATAAAAAAATATTTTTTAGATTTTTGGTCACTAGTAAAATGAACGATTTCTTTGATATTGATCCAATGTATCAAGTGTGTAGGATATATTGTTGACTGTTTTTCATTTTGGAAGGATATAAAGCTTGTAAAGATGATCTGACTGACTGAATGTGTAATTGGCTGCTGCCTTTGATTTTTACATCATACAACAGCCGATAGCAGTGAATCAAGGCAAATGGAAAATAAAGAAATAAAGCTGCTGAAACTGCATGGACCTGCCTGAATGATACAGTACTGTGTTTCACATTTCGATTAGTTCTTCAGTGAAAGGAGAAAAATGTCAATTCACAGGTGAGCTGCTGCTGCTGATAACTGCACAGCGTGAGTCTTCACAATGCTCCATCTGTTTGTCCTAGACTTTCATTTCTCTCTGCTTTTGCAATCTCATCCTATACACATAACTATACCAAGAAACTATGTTTGTGTGCAGATGTGTGATCACCGTCTCTGCATCTTTCTCCTCTGTTACTCTCTGAATATGCTCTTGCATTGTGCCATCTGTCCTGTTAGAGGTAGACTAACCACAAGTCAAACCTGCTGCAGATGGTTTGACAGTTTACAAAAAGACAGCTTTCCGTCTTTTCTCTGGTCTAAACAGATTTCTGTCTTTTCAAACAATGGAGGGAGAGACCCTCTCCTTCTCCATTGGCTTTCTTCGGTGTAGCAGATGCCCCTGCAGACACAGTCAGCTAAGGTTCATGTCAAATTGTCACTTTGACTGACAAAAATAAGTCCTTGGGCTGTGTCTGTTCTGCTCTAACATGGCTTCAGGTTGCAGAGGTCCAGTTCCTGAGGCTTCCTCCTTCCAGAGCAGTGGTCTCTGGGTAAATTCAGACCATTTTCAGTCATGCAGCGCACTGGTCGCCTTTTAAAGCCCCTTCCGCAAGATTTGGAACAGTGAGACCAGGCCCCTACATCCCACACGGGACATGGATCCCCACATGCTCTCACTGCTACAGGCCTGTCAGCATTGTCACAGTCCACTGCAGGACGCCCCTCCATGCTCTGGCACTGCACTAGCCTCTTCTGCAGACCATTCCCACAAGTCACCGTGCATGAATCCCAACTTCCTGTAACCCAGTGACTGACTGGCCTCTTACCCATCACTTGCTTCTTTGCTTCCACCCTATTACTGTCCGCCAAGACGCTATTCTGTGCTGTGTGGCTCCTCTCCTCTTTCCGCAGAGTCTTCTCCTCCTTGCTCTCCTTGGAGATGTAGAATGAGTAGCGCACCCTCGGAGGAGTCATCTTCCCTACAGAGAGCACTTCCACAGTCAGAGGCTCCTGAAGGGGTCTGGTGGCCTGAAGAATTTCCACAGATGTGGAGGTGCCACTGTAACGCAGTAAGCTGCCCTTCACCAGCAGGTCACGCTCCACAGCGGACACCACATAGTTGCCGTTCAATAGGTACTTGCCGTGTCGATTCTTCACTGCTAAGTAGTTTTCATCACTGACCATTCCTCGGTAGCCGCGCTGACGGATGTCAATATTTGAAGCTCCAGTAGGCAGCATCACCACAAAGTTGTAGCCATGACTGAAAAGAAAGTGTGGAGATGTAGCGCATTAATGATGGTTATTCCAAAAGCTTGCAGGATGATGTATGCAAATGTATTTTGTAAACTTAAAGGTGCTTCAAGTAGCATTTTTAAACACCATCACTGCAAAACATTCCAGAAGAGAGTAGATCACAGTGTGCCACTATATCTTGTCCAGTCATTTTACCTTTGTATGATTAACATAAACATGGTTAAGGTAATTGGTTGCCTCTATGTATCTCCCATGCATTTTACATGCTCTATCTTGTTGACCAGCCACCAATACATTTAGAAGTGACACTCCAATCTAACCACAATTACTGATATTTGTACATGTGTTTAATACAGAAGATACACTGTGGGAATAAAACTATTTTGGAGCAGCTTGAAGGTCTTAAATTAGGCTTTGCTTACAGTTTTTGAGCTAAACTAGGCTAAGTATGTCTTGGATTGTAATATCATCAAGTTTCCAGAGCCAAAGGTTTTTGTTTTGAATAACCCCACAAGATCATTTATTTCTATGAATATACCAGGAATCATTTTATAATTATAGGACATGCTAAAAATCTAAATATGATAATTGATGCCTATCTTTAGGCTATATATCTAAACTTTCATTTATAGTGCTGCGTTAAGGGGCTACGCTGTACCTATGCTGGCTATGTGCTTATGCTCCATAGGTACCGTAGCTACAGAGATACCACATTGGGAGAATTAATTAGAGAGCATGGGCTGTTTTTATCTATGTTTCTGATGCCAACAACAACAGGTTGAAAAAGCTCACTGCAAAGCTTTCACTGTCTAAAGTAAGTTATGACCTGTCCCGGCACTTTAGATGTAACACCAAAGAGTGGTAGAGTATGTGCTAGCATATTACTTACATAGGTTTGGTGAACATCCCTGAGACCTTCTTGCAGCCCTGGTTGTCTCCACCACAAACCCCGCACTTGTCAAACTTCCTGTGAGAGTCCAGCTTGCCATCACAGCCTGCCTTGATGCATTTTCCTTGAACACATACAGCTGAGGTGTCAGGAGAGCAAGGTGTCCCATCCACAACCTGTAGGGTTTGAAACATCACATCATGCCAATCTTTAGTTGGATAAGCAGGAACGACAAAGAGAACAAAAGAGCTAGACAGAAATCATTGCCACATAAATGGTCTACCATCTTTACATACTACAATCTTCCTCTGACTAAACAAACACAATGAACCAAAGAGCTACATCAATACAAAGTCAAAAGTAGCATCAGGGGGATTGTACCGTATCCTTTAGTGTAAACAAGGCTTGCATTGCTGATACATGCTTACTTCTTCACTGGTTGCATAAATAGTTGCTGACAAGCCACAGCTGTGAAGTGATACCATCCCTGCAATGTTTAGCTTTTTCCCCACTACATCCACCCTGCAGCCGTACCTACTCTATCTGCTGCCACTAACACATCACCTCTCACTGCTTTGCTGTTGATGGAACTGGCCGTTACTTCTGGCATCGTGGATAAGGGCCAAATCATACCAGGCAGCTACACACTGAGCCCGAAAACCTCTGTGAGCAGAGAGCTACTCAATATTTCTAACTAAATGTTTCAGCTACACCACCCATGAGGTTTTGACTCATGATGAGGTGTTCAATGACAAGGCATTCAGATTGCATTAGCAAGTACAATAGTTGATACCCATTTAGCTCAGAATTAAGAGAATTCCCTAATGTCATGTCTCAACTTTTTAGACTTATTTAAGTGTGGCAGAACCTGGTTTTTGTTCACAGCAGCATAATGAAAGCTGACAGCATTGCTCTATGTACCGTCTACAGGCAGCAACCACATTTGCACTACAGCTAGCAATTATCAGGCTCAAATCAGCCTCCAGGTGGCTGGGTAATTGCGTTTTGCGGATAATATGAAAGCAGTCAATGTCATTTGCCTAGAACTTTTCAGAACTCATTGGAGTTTATCTACTTTATTAACTCAGTGTACCCACAGGGTTGAATAATAAATATAATTTGTGCTATTAAACTTTTCAGAGTTTAGAAAAAGTGAGTTGATGAAAACAGATACAATCCGATTGTGTTGCTACATAGCCTACCTTTGGAGCGAGGACATAGAAGTATCCGGTCCCATTGGCGCGGCAGATGAGCTTGCATTTGTCCTTAGGAGAGATGCCTGAATATTTGGGAACCCATACCACAGAGGAGCCCAGTCTGTTGGTGTTCAGGTTTAAGCCATTGAATGCCTCACATTGCTCCTCACGGAAACTTTTACCTTGAGAAGTATAAAAAAACAGCCTCAGAATTGATTGACAACTACTTCAACACTGTTGACCTCACAGAATGTGAGTGCAGTTTTGCAGTTGGCCATTCATTAAGCCCTGGCACCCTTAGTTACTGTTGCTATGCCTGTCAAGCGTTCTGTTCTTGCACAGCATGTGCATTTTACAATGATAGCGGTGACAGATTTGCTATCTGAAATTCTAAGTAATTTTCAAAATAAAAAAACAATAGCCAGCGACCATCAGTTTTGCCAGATGAAACTGTTGCTAACTAATTTTATCAGCTGTAGCTAGCGAACTAATTAAGCTAACCCAATAGCCTAGTTGCAAACACCGACTCCAGCTCCGACTTTTTAATGTTTCCAGCTGACTCATATTAAAAAAGGAACCCTGTAAAACTCTGCTTGGAGAAAGTAAGGCTATCATAGGTAACTTTGACTGAGGTCAGGTTAATGCTGATTGGCCTACCTACAATTTGCAACTTTCTGCAAGGCCACGACACTACAAGATGCTGATCTACTGTGCATAAGTGTCCTCCAAGCAGACTCCAGAAAGTAGTATAATGAGAACTACGTGGCCATGGTGTCTGCAGCTGTCCGTGTATGTATCCGTATGGGAGGCCTTTAGGCTTACATTAGGGCATATAAGCACACTCTTTAACCCATTGCTTAACATTTTGCTCCCTTTTTTTGGTTAAAAGAAACAGACATCACCATCCAAACTAAATATCAAAGATCTCTCTTACTTCAACTCCATGTACACTGCTTCAACATTCAGACAAAGCCAAAGCTTGACAAGCCTACCATGCCTAGTTACTGATGCTAAGGTATAACTAGACCATCACTGTTTGGAAGAAAGGTTTAGTGAATGGTCATTTACAGTCCTTAATGTGTGTCTTCCTGTGTGAACATGTGTACCTGTTTCAGGACAAGGGTTGAGGTTACAGGAGCGATATTTGATGCGAAGGCCATAGCAGTATTTGCCTCCATTCTCAGGGACGGGGTTGTCACACTCTCTCTTGGCCAGCTGAACTCCTCCACCACAACTACGGGAACAGTCTCCAAATGCACCCCACTTCCCCCAGCGGCCATCCACCTGGGACAAAAGACACAGGCGCAATGGTATGTCAATCTTTGATAAAAATTACCAAGCAGGACAGGACAGTACTCTCTTTTTGCACTCTCTCACCTTGATGTGCATGGTGCTGTTCTTATCAGCGCAGGCTCCCCTGTAGCAGACCTTGCCGTTGACACAGCTCGTGCCATCCGCCCAGGGGAAGTGTCGGGTTTGGCAGACCAGCTGGCCACGGGCCTTCCCGGTACACCAAAGCTTGGAGCAGGGCTGCATGTATGGGCAGGGCTTGGAGCCGTGGCCGAAAGCGAGCTCACACTGGCGGTGCAGGCTGTAGCTGGAACCAGGTAGGTTGTCTGAGAGTGACAGCTGCCTTTGAGGCTGGTCCAACAGACAGTCTCCTGCACAAATAGACCAACAGCCATGCAAACAATTAGACACATGGATATTAATACTGAGGTGAGATTATGACTAAAAGTGTGGGAATGTTCAAATTTGTATTTACATTGGGGGAGATGACTACTTGTTGGTGTTACTTGATGAACCCAGAGAGAATTATCACAAGCTTTGCAGTTTCCCAGTGTTTTGGCATCTTTCAGCTTATTGTTTGCTTTCATGGCCCTCAACTTTACTGCTTTCACTCAGTCTCAGCGCTCTCATCAACCTCATTTCCAGCAGCTGCAGGCAGCTGTTTCCAGTGCTAAAGCTAATAAAAAGCCCTTTATGCTACCTGCCAGGCACCAAACAGTGGATAGGTAACACTAGCGACTATCTGGTAAACATTTAGAGCCAGAGCCAGATACTTCCTTCAGGAGTTGGTGGAGACCAAAACATACATTAGCTGAAGCTATTGGATTTATGATTATAAGGTGAAGGGAAACGCAACCAAAAAGGCAAATGTTACAGCGTGTTGCTTTGCACCAATTGGGCCAAAAACATCAACTGATTCAGCTTTAAAGACAAATGAAAAATCCAACTAAATCAATTAAGTCTCTATTACCAAGGCATTTTGTGATAAACTGACTGATGAAAATAGTACTTTTCCTACACTTATATACACTCCTTGGTAATAAAGTCTGAATTCATAGAAATTGTGATTCATGAGGCCCAAAATTTGAAAAGAATATTCACCACCAATTTTTTAAGAGAACTTTAAGTTATTAAAAAGTGTGCCACCAATCAATATATTTCCTCTATCACAACGTTAACGTATTCTTTCACAGCAAGTACACTCTTGGTTCCTCATATGCACTTTGTTTGAACCAATTTGTGAGCATCCAATCAAGTTGCAGGAGAGAACAATTAACCATGCATTACTTTTGTTCACATTTGATGAGTGTGTTATAACTTGTTTTAGGATGCAAAAAGTTCAGGGCATGGGACTTGACTTGGGACGTGACTTGAGACGTATCTGTATGGAATCAGAACTTGTCTGTAGTGACTATGGGCTTGACTTGGGACTTGTCTGTCTTGACTTTGGATTTGTCTGCCTGGACTTTGGACTTGATTTGGGACTTGAGTGCAAAGATTTCAGACATCCTTTTGACTTGCATAACAATGACTTGGTCGCACCTCTGCTATTATCTTTCTCATATCAAATTATGCTGAGAATCAGTTTTTCTCTTTAAACTGCTATGCATTGCAAGGGTGCTCAGGTAAATTCATGTTAAGATTTTGAAGAAGCTGTATGACTATAAAACGATGGATTATAGCATTAAAGAAATGTTCAGAAAACATATTGACAGAATAAACTATTATGCTTGTAGAGAATTATTGCACAGTATGATCAAAGACAGATATTATTTGGACATATAAATAATACATGAGCTTAAAACTGCTGGTACTGTTTGTTCAATAACTTTGGCTTCAGTCTGTACAAGAGAAGCCGTAGCTCTATGACACAGTGCAGGCACCGGCTGATGTTTAGATTAAGCAAATGACTCATGTAGAAAAGACAGTAGTGTTAGCTCTGGAGTGTTAAACTTAGCACATGCTCATTTGCAGTAAGTGGGCAGGTCGAGGGGAGGTAATAAATTGGTGTCTTTAATTCTGTCTATTACACAGAATCCACTTAGACTCACTTATGGGAGTTTACACACAGACAGAAAAAGACTTGGCATAAAGGGGCTACTGAGGGGAAAAAGCTGAATGATGTATATATACACTTATTAATTGAATGTGGATTCTGTATATCATCATCTGCATATGAAATAACATCACAAGGAAAAATACTTCCTCTGATACACTTCAGATATGTCCAGTTTCTTTCTTGTGTAATAATTACTGCGATACAGTTTTAAGTATCACTCTGCCAAAGAAATGTTTTACATTTACTTATTTCTTGTCGATGCATTGTGGTTCATTGAGGCTAATGAGAATCTGGTACATGCCAGTTTTACTATGGATGTTTTCTTAACTCATCCCCTGTTGTACAGTAGATGCTGTATATCCTGATGTGACATCAAAATACAACAGACTTCCCAGATATTACATCAGCAATGTCCTTTGTTGAGCTCTGACCAGCAGTCAACATAAGCCACTTGGTTAGTTTGTCAGTCTCAAGCACTTTCCAAAACTTATCGTTACAACAGGATTTCAAGCCCAGGATCTAAAATTCTGATCCCAGCTAAGGTAGTTTGGGTGTAGTTTTAATGCACTTTCATAACTTCACCATGAACTTGTCTCTGTGTTTTTGTGCTTTTTCTTCAATATATCTACCAACTGTTGTACAGGTGTTCATTAACCAAAATGTTTCTTGCTACATTAATCTTTTTTGCCACTTAATGATCAATGAGATAAAAATCACATGGTTGAAATATTGTGGCCTTGGTGTGGCTTATATGTTATCTAACTATTTCCTGTTTACACATCCAACATGCACAGAGCGGCAGCAGTCATTTGAAATCTTTTTTTTTGGCCGCCTGTTTAATGTAAGTCTGCTGTCCGTCTGTTTTGGTCATCATCAACTCCTAAAGGGGAAATCATTCTCTTAAGCTGCTAAATGCTCCAATATGTTCACCATCTAGTTGCTAACTGTGTCTGTCTGCTGTTTGGTGCTGGGCAGGTAGTGTACAGTTGGTTCACCAGAGCTTTTTCACTGAAAACAGCTGCATGCTGCTGCTGGAAACAAGGTTGATGAGAGCCATGAGACTGAACAAAAACAAAGGCAACGTTCACAGTGCAGGCTGAAGTGGCCCAAATCACATTGTTTTGCTCATATGTGAGTAGTTTTTCATGACAGTGTGAATAGCACAAATTACATGGAAACGGCTCTTTTCAGTTCAGTTTTCAGTTTGGGCCACTTTAATATGAGGCCCACATCAAATCAGGTCTGTTTTTTTGCATCGTGACCTCAGTGTGAACAGTCATATCAGGATTTGTGACTTTTACGTCACTCTAGAAAGGCATTTGTCTCAATTCTGCGCTGGCGGGAGTCATTCAGCTGCGATGGAGGTAGTCAGTGGAAGGACAAGGAGGGATTTGGAGTGACACTTGAGGGATTGTAATGTAGCTGGTCTGTCTTTGCTCAGACTCCACATCCACATGCACACCTCTGTACAGTAGTAGCAGCCATTGCTCCACAAAAAGCCAATTTAGAATGTGTCTCTCTTTCTCCTCGTCCTTGTCAATATCCATATCATCTGCTCACAAATTTGCTGGCTTTCAGTGTGTGACGTTGTATGATGTGTTGCAGGTCAGTTCAGGGCTGTGACCAGTTCACACTGGAATCTCATATAGGCCACATTTAAAAAGTAATGTGAACAGCCAAAAATCAGTCAGATCAGAGCAATAAATCAGAACTGGCTGATGAGGCTTGCAGTGTGAACATAAAGGTTGCAGGGCTGTTAAACCAAAACAATGAGCTCAAAGATGCTAAAACCTGTTGAGCTGGGAGGAATTGCAGTCCGGTGATTGTTCTCTGTGGATTCATCTCACAAGTTACCCATTTAACTTACACACAGGGACTTGATCCATTGTTCATGTAAAGATATTAATGGGTGCAGCTTTAAGTCAGCCTTTTTTAATTTAAGTAAGTCTTCATTGTTGATTGATTCCCTTGTCAAGTAAAACATGATGTTAGTTTTGTTGATACTATTCTGGTTTGAGTTTGGTCTGTTGCTATTGACTTTCACTGTGTTATTTATTGTTGAAGTGTTGACTCACACTTACCTTAGCCATTATTTAAATAAATCTATTTCAGTAAAACACATATTCATTGGGCAGAGTCAAAATAATAATAAACTAATATATTGTATAATATACTATAATATTTGACACGTGTGATCACTTCCAAGTCGAAGCTGAAATTGAACTTACCAATTGAACCATGACAAAATAGAGCCAAGGTCTGTTTTCTGTGGGTACAATTAGATTACAACCAGCTGAGAGCATGAAGCCTGGACAGAATTTGTCATCCAGGCACACATACAGGAAGTGTTTACTAACCATGACCTCTGTCCAGGAACTCAGTAATGATGGCTGCGCTGCACACAGACCAGGGCCTGCTCCTGTCGATCTGAATCAGTGTGGGCGACATCATGTGGTTGTCCTTTAGTTTCCCAAATACCTCCTCGCATGCTTTCACATTGTCGTGGGGCATGTTGAAGACGTGTCCTGTGGGAAGAGAGAGGGGTGGGAAGAGAGACGGAAGGTCACGTCTTTGTTAAAGTCAAGTAGTTCTATTTTCAATCATCCCATGATTTATAACACAATAAACAGCCAGCAGTACAGTGAAGTTTCTGTGGCGACGACAGTGAAATATGAAAATATTAGCACAAAGAGAGACTTTACATGTATGTATAAGGCAAAGCAAACTCAACTTGGACTGATCTGAGGCTGATGTCATAGCAGAAAGGAATGCAGTTATGCATGGGAATATTCAGCGTGGCGTATGTCCATGTTCTGACAGGGGAATTTAGTTCCCAAGGAAATCATTTCATTCCCTAAATACGAACATGTAGTCCTTTCCAAAAGAAAAAGAAAAAAAACATAAACTGTGTTTCAGCGTATGAGACTTAATTACTTAACATACATGAGCACAGTGTAAACCAATGCCTCTCTTGGGGCCTCACTTGTACATCTGGTCTCCGGCATGTGTTTTTCAAAGCCTTCTCAACCACTGATTATTGAAAATGTGAAACAAATACTGTTACTTGTATTATTAATAGGATTAGCCTTAACTAGAGATATTTAGGAGTGTCAAAGTACATTATATGCCATTTAATACCACTCATTAAATTGCATCAAAAAAGCAGACAGGAAAGAATTAGCAGTGTTCATCTTCAGCTTCTTTTCCATTTTCACATTTGACTGAATAAAACAGGTCATTTACAGCTGCAGTAAGGAGGGGTGGGGGTAAAACTGCATGTATAATATCAGCCTAAATTACAGATATTAGAGGAATAGAGAAAGAATGTGGCGCTGTAGAGTCATCCTGTTTATCTGAACAACCCTGGACACTGGCCATCGATCAAAACTAATACACTGAGTATAAATTCAGAATTCATTCTGCTTCATGAAATATCTTCTCTGTGGTCCATCCAACACCCCCCAACACACAAACCCATACACACAGATATGCATAATATGGTACTATCTGACTTTTTTTTACTTTAAGTACTACTCATTCAAAGAGATGTAAATTGATTTAAAATTAAATATATGTGTGTTAAATTATTGTATACTGATACTCTTTTAAAAACAAATAGAAAAGAACAAATGAATAGTCAGCCAGCCACTTTTGACTGATCATTACTCTCTGACCCCAATATGACCCCAGGCGCCACTGGGTCTAGCTTGGAAACAACAGCATGTAGGCCACACTTACCATGGAATATTAATGTCAATCAGTACTTGGTTTCATGCTTGTGGGTTAAGTAAGAAGCTGGAGCTGGGGCGTGGTTAACCTAGCTTAGTACATAGCTGCAAACAGCGAGCCTGGCTCTGTACAAATTGACTTCTTTTTTCTTTTATCCAACTGATAAAGACAGTTTCCAATGTCGCATCTCCGGCTGTAGAGATTTGTTGTGAGATACAGTCAGTGAGCATCATTTTGGCTTTGGTCTCTGACTGTCTGGAACCAAACCTGGCAACCTCACCGTGACGAGAAATAGTTGTTTTTACATTCTCTGTCTCTACAAGTTGAGCAAGAAAGATATAACATGCAGTTATTCAGCTTTAGAGGTGTTGGCAGGCTACTTTTTGAACTTTGGATAAAACAGGCTAGCTGTTCTCCCCTTCCTCCAGTCTTTATGCTAAGCATGCCAGTCTTATACTTTTTCTTTGCTTACATTCTCCTTTCACGAAAGCATCACAGACTAGCTGAAATAAAGATAAATGTACTTTTGTTATTACAATGTTATCATATTATTATTATAGTGAACTTTCATGTGCATGTGTAGCTGTAATGTTGAACATGCATTCATTTCAACCCGGAGAGCTGCTGGTTTTGATTGTAATGAGGGACTGATCTGCAAACAGAACATCAGGTGAATGCAATTAAATAGCTGGTGCAGTGCTCTGGGACCAGGACTGAAAACTCCATGGCCATATAGATCATCATGAAAGTTGCAAAGCCCTCTAGCCAGACCAGTTTCCACACTGATTATGCGTGTATATGTCTGTCAAACCTGACAGCAGAATTCCTTTGACATTTAAAGTTAAGGTTATATGCATCTCTTGCCCTGAGCATATCTCACTCTGAGGCCAAATGTGCATTAGCATAAACATAAAAAGCACACTGCTGATGAACAACATATTCCCCACATTTTACAAATAGCGGGCCAACTTTCTTACCAAGTTCATGGGCAGTTGTGAAGGCTGAGGGCAAGCCATCATCTTCAATGACAGAGCAGCTCCTCTTTGGGTCACACATGGTCCCAACGTCAGCCATCCCCAGTGTATCACAGGTTGTAGACCCGCAAAGATCCTGGTGACACAAGGACACAAGTGTTATCTGTGAAAAGCCTTACTCGTTATTCTTACAGGAAGCATGAAAAATCAGATAAGACTCAAGTTGTGTTCCAAACATGGTTTGTGTGGCTGTGCCATGAGCTACAGAATGAACAGACCATGAAGAGGGCTAATACAAAGCACATGGGACTCTGGTTTGCTTATTGCTGCTCTGTTCTTAAAATATATTGAAACAGGGGGTCAGGGGAGATAGCTCACCACGTATTTCCTCTTGGTGTTTAGATAAAAAGTTAAGAAGGGACTTTGGGGGGACTAGATGAGTCCCACCTGCGGCACACAGCCCAGGGAAAAGTAAAACCATGTCAACTCCACCACAGTCTTTTCTTAACATGTTTATATTCTCTTACAACTCTGCTTACAACTCTATGGCTATCTTCTCTTTCCTCTATGGTGTGCCCCATTTTGGTTAGCTGTCTGTATCTAACTGGGTCAGACATACAGTCCACAACCAACTTTGCCCCCAATAAACATCTCTGCCAGTTTTGTGTCATGGGTTTATCTTAATAGCCATGCTAACAGCATATCTTTTTGTTTTCAGTCCACCTTTTCAGTCCAGAGTACTGCAGAGATTTCCCCTGACTTTTCCTCAAGGGCCACCACCAGTTTTTTATTGAAATGTTAACTGTTGGATGGATTGCCATGACATTTGGTACACTGATGTACCACAGGATAAATCTGTCATAGCTTTGGTGACCAATGTGTAAGAATTAGTAGCATCAGATTGCAACTCCCTCACTTCACCCCGTAAAAGCATGACAGTCTCTGTGGAAAGCAGGTCGATGTAAAAAGCTAATTCCTAGGTAACAAAAACTAAATTATTATTATATTCAGGTGTTTATACACTAATGAAAACATACCTATGGATATTATATTCCATTTATGACAATAGACTCTCCTAAATGTTACACACTGGACCTTTTTTGGACCTTAAACTTTTTGTCAAAGCTAATGTCATTCCCAACCGCAGTCTTTATTGCTAATTAGAAAATGTTGGTAACACACTAAGTAATAAAATGGTGAACATGGTAGACATCATCATCAGCAAATATGTTAGTATTGTAATTTTGCTGGCATTAGCATTTAGGTCAAAAGACCATTGTGCCTATGTACAGTCTCACAAGCTGCTAGCTTGGCTGTAGACTTGTAGTCTTGTTATTTAACATTACAGAAAAAGTTATGAGCCTTTTCCTGCTGGAACAATAAATTATTATTGTAAATGGCTGTGACTCATTGGTTATCAGGAAGATGAGTTGCCTAGTTCTGTCCCAAGGAGAGGTTCTGGAGAGGTTATTGTCTCGGTGTTAATATTTCTGGTCAGGAATTATGTTTTAGTATATCAAAATGACTTTCCTGTGCTTTTATAGTGATCTAAGAAAATATAAACACATAGTGGAGGATGAACTTCTTAACTCGAGGTTACAGTGAAGCCCAGCAGTGCCAGAAGCACCCTCTGCCAGCCATGTGTATTCCACTTGCTCTTCATAACCTATTACAAGATTTTTCCCACCACAGCAGCTGCACTCATTGTGCCCTACAAGGACAACAACACTGGACCTGGACCTTCCTACATATAATTACCCTACGTTTAAATAAGGCATCTTTCCCGGCATTGTGGGTGATTCTTTACTCGTTTTGACCTTGGAAGTGTTTTTGTATGTTGCTATGCAGTGAAGGAGAGAGGCTGTGTATCAGATGGCCAGCCAGAGCCAAACTGAACCTAATGGAAAGCAGGCAACGACGGCCAGGGGAGCCAGAGAGAAGTTAGTGACTGTGAAGAAAGATTTAGTAGTCAGTGGTCACAGCTCTGGTGGCCACATGGGATTATCTGACAGCTGTGATCAGGCTGAAACCTTGAAATAGTGCCAATTTACATCACTTTGAATGAATGAATGAAGAAGGAATTTGTATTCTAATAGGATTCTTTCAAAAAACTTCCTGATCATTATAAAGGATCCTTATATAGGCAGATAGTGACCCAGTTCTTATTCCATACAAGCAGACGGAGGTGAGGTCTTTCATGGAAAGAACTGGCTCAGTTGCTCCTTTCCAGTGACTCACTGGACTAAACTAAGGGGACTTGCAGAGTTGTGCAGTTGACAGGCTGAACTACACGGAAGTTCATGCAAGATTAGCACAAAATGACTACAAAGAAACACAAAACAACTTCAAAGAGATGCAAGAAAAATACATCAAATAAAAAAGAGACAAAATGACTACAAAGAGATGCCAAAACCGAGAGGACTACAAACAGCATCACTGAGTTGTTTTTTGCGTCACTGAGAGTCTGAGAGTTCTGGTTCACCTGCAGAATATTACTGAAAGAATAGTTGTCTTTCACTTATGTAAATGGGGGAGGCTTTTACATATCTGTGCCAGGGGTCTTATTGCTTATGAGACAGTGGACAAGTTATATATGAGTGCAGCATTGTGATGCATTACAGCCGGGTTTGATGCAGCTCACTCCTCTCCCGCTTACCTGTTTAGTGAACAGTATGGCAGTGTCCCAGTACTCTGGGTGCTTGTCGCTGTGTTTATTCAACTTCTTCTGCCAGGAGCAGAAGTTGCGCAGAGTCAGGGCTGCATTACTGGAAACCTTAGGTCCCTTGTCAGCTTCATTTATCGCCATGAAACCCACCACCACTATGTTAATGGAGTTGAGGATGCTGGGGTGCTTGTAAAGCCTGGCTGCTACTGACATCAGGGTCAAGAGGTAATGCTTCAGGTCATCCCCATGAAATGCAGCCATAGATTCATCTGCCACCACCAGCACCTCCACAAACCTGGGGATGGAGGCAAACCTCTTGGACCTCCCCAAGGTTTTCAACACAGTTTCAGTTAAGCCATCAATCTCCAATTCGCCCATGTGCTTGTATTTCTCCAGGGAGATGTTGAAGTTGGTGTCAGGTGTAACTCCGCACCTGCTGGTGAGGTTGCCGGCTGAGTGCGCAGCGCGTCTCCGGCGGCGGATGACATGCGTCCTGTCGAAAGAGTTTCCAAATCCAGACGCAGCTGCTGCGTCTTCAGTCCTGGTCTGGCTGATGAAATACTCCAAGCCATTATATGAGAACCCCCCGTGGAGACCTTTACACAGGCTGAGGGCAGCGAAGGAGTCCGGGTCTGTGTTGACATCGCCGGAGTAGAAGCAGTCCCTAAGGTCAGCGGGTGCGGAGCCGTTGGATGCTGTGGAACCGCTCTCCGGCGGCAAGCTGCCCGGTGCAAGGAAACTAGAGTCCGGCGTGAGGTGGATGTAAAATTCCTGTTTGAATGCATTCAGTCTAAAAACAATCTGCCTTTCATTCATCTGCTCCGCGCGCCGGTGCAGATGTTTTTCATACTTTTGCTGATCCACGCGAACAGGTATGCAAAAATCCACCTCCATGCAATATGTTAGTTTCAGACAAAGTATTAATTTGGTAAAAATGATCAAAGAACTGAGTGCAGCCATCTCTGCTCCTGCTCTGTAAAGCCCACACTGTAATTCGGCTGCGGTGCGTTTGCAGTGGAGGCAGTGGAGAAGTTGTGCGCAATGGCACGAAGAGCCTCAGCCTTGTGCGTCCTCAGGAAACTAAGCACCCGCGCTGCCTTTCAGCTTCATTCCCATCCTGCACCGTTTCCACTCTGGCCATCAACTTCTCTGAGCTGCTGAGCTTTAAAGTAGCGCACAAACACCGAGGATCACTTTCAAGTGAAATCTGGGTACGTGCGCAAGAGAGAGCTCATTGGTCATGCGTCTCGGGTTGTGATGCAGACCGCAGCCACTTGTAACTCTCCAAATATTATTGTTGCTGTACAGCATGTGTGACAGGAGCTGAAGCATCATCCCCCTCCTCCCACCGCCCATAGTCACTGCGAAGCGGACAGACAGGGAGCAAACAGAGACTGATTTCATTTATTTCAAACTAATGCAATAACCTTCAAACAGTATATGATATGATATTACATTTCTGCACAATTTCTCCTTTCTGTGTATTTATTTCAATGTATTTTTCCATAAAATGTTTATTAAAAACACATCAAATAAAACAAGTTTAATGAATGAAGGAAACATAACAAAAATCTATTACTGACAATCAAACAATTTACACATTTCTATTCCTCTGCATATCCTCACGGTTAAGAAAAAGTGTAAAGAGCGAAGTGAAACGCGGGCAAAGAGCGCCACCTGTTTGCACAAGTCCACCGGAGCTTCAGTGCGTCTCAGCGCCCGAACAAGTCTGTTGTGATGTGGCGCCATCTGGCGGTTAGCGTCTTAAACTGCACCCACGGGATCATTTTTATTGTATAAAGTGCTGGCATTCTCCAGGCAAACAGTCTTAATAAAGTGATTTACATGGTGCCTGGCAGAACATGTGTTTAGTCTTGTAATACAAGAGAAAGCCTTTAAAAAAATAACTATTTAGCGTCATCAAGAAAATGTTTTTAAACGCAGCATTTATGGTGCTGGAAAGAAATATTCATGAATAAAACAAATGTTTAAAAATCTGCAGCACTAAACGGAATTCTAAAATAGGACATATTGGGTACATTGTTTTAACATTTTAAGTAAAGATATAATTTATTACAGTCATTTATTAAATGAAAATTGTTCTTTTGATAAAGAAGGATAAATAGTTGCTTAATCCTAATATTTAGAGATTAAAAATCTCATCAGAACACACATGGTGCATAAACAAGTGATTAAATAATAATAATCTTCCCATAACTACTGATGTGATTAAACATTTCTCAGTGTCCAAGGTGGCTGTAAGTTCCAAGCACACACAGTGCCTTTCTCTGTCCAGCGGGGGTCTTTTGTGCGGGGATAAAGCAGATCGGCCTTGTGGGGGGCTCCGGACTCTGTGGGGGCCTGCCACTCACACAAGTCTCCGAAATAACTCGAGTAGCGGACTTCCAGCTATGCGTAGTATAGATGTCCTGCCGCTGCCATATAGCACGCTGGGTTAATAATAGGAGCACGGTTGTCAAGCTATTTCAGAAGGGGGGAGTGTCGGCCTATTCTCATTGGATCCGTTTTATCCGCGAGTATCTCATGAAGTGCGAGTGGGAGGAGAATTTCCAGCAACGGAGGATATCAAAAATAAACCCCCTCATGTCCAAGGAAGAGCAGAAAGTATAAATACCCCCGATGTGTCCGGACTGCAGCGGTGCTGGTGAGTGGTACAACAAGACTTAGCCTGGTTAGGGAATTAGAAACGACAACTCAGACAGACTGAAATTAAATACCAGACATACTTTGACCAAGACTGATTTTACAGCACTGGGAAATCACTTTTAATTTGAAAAGATCTCTGATTTCAGAAGATACTCTTTCGATTGGAGAAGACGCGGCGCTTACCAGAGATAAAGGACATACATTTTAATAAATTCTTTATTTTTTCCGCTCTTGAGTGCAATTTCCATTGCAGAAGATGTGTTCGACTGTGTGTTTGATCTTTTTACTCCTGTGCGTAATGAACGCGGCTCTTTCCACTCCATTTGAATCAGAGGATATTGTACCTGTTCGGATAAACGGCAGAATCAGCGGCCGTTTTTGGAAAAGAAGCGAGGAGCTGCCAAGATTTATCCTCAGTGCATTTGGCAAGGACATGACTCTAAATCTCATCCCAGATACAAGCTTTATCTCGCCCTCCTTCACCATACAGCGCATCAAAGCCAGAGATGTTGGCGCTTTACGCGGCGCTTCAGATGCCCAACGTGTAGAATTTCAGAATTTCAGGAACCAGACAGAGGAGAGTGAAGGGCAGCTTAGGAGCTGCTTTTACTCGGGGAACGTAGATCAAGATCAACACTCGGTTGTGTCGGTCAGCTTGTGCTCCGGCATCTTTGGCTCCTTCATAACGGAGGGGAAAGAATACTTAATTGAGCCCAAACTTCGTGGCGGTCTGGGGCCAGACTCTGCAGAGCAGCTGCATGTCATCAAAAGGAGGACATTCACCAAAAGCCACGGTGTTCCCCTACTGTTTGATCACGCTGCGGCGGAGAGCCGAGCGGAGAAGCACAATGAGGAAAGTTTTACGCACGGCGACAGTGACGCACGGAGGGAACCTCGCCGGAGACGCTTTGTTTCCGCACCACGGTTCATAGAGACCCTGGTGGTAGCAGACTCAACAATGACCCACTTCTATGGAGATGAAATAAAGGTCAGACATGATGAACTCATTCTTTCCTGCACACACTGTTGATAGGAACATAAACGAACCATAGTTTAATTTAGCAGATTACACTGTGCCATAAACAAACATACTGAAGACGTCATCTTTTCCCCTTTATTTCCCCATCCTGTTTGCGAGGATTCATAGCCATAGAAACACAGTGGCAGGGATTTGTTTTTCTGTGCTGCTTCATAAAACATGTTTTGGCAATGAGGAGGTTGGGAGGGAATCGGTGGGCTCCCTGTTTTCCACAGACTAAGAAAGAGGTCAGGCAAGAGAAATGCAAGCAATGTTGAAGCGCATTCCTCAGTACTTGGTCATGATTTGGCAGCAGAGCCTCAGCATCATCCAGGGAAGATTCACCAGGCTTACGATATCTGTTCTATATCTGTCTTTACTCAGTATCAAAAATTAATTAAATTAACCATTTCCTGCTGCACATGATATAAAACATCCGATATTTCAATTGCACAACATTTAATGGATGGTGATATTCATAAAAAACTCCTGAGATCATCATGCCGTTTCAATCTAGAGCAAAACTAAGGACCCATTTAGACAAAAGTAGGACAATCCATGATCCTGCCACAATTTGGACCAGCCAAATTCTTGTCTGTTTGTACTTAACAAGCTCCTCAGCAGCCAAACCCCTCCGCCTTATCCCACAGTAAGTAGTGGCAAGTAAAGGCAACCAGGCAGCAGGGTCAGTTTAGATTGATAATCTGGCTTTATATTGGCTTTTCATTATTTCATGTGTTCTATGATCTATGGGCGGTTTTAGTTATTTGGTGTCCCAGGCAAAAATCAATATGTGGCTATGTGGGTGTGTGTACAGCACATGTGGAAAAACTTTTTTAAGCGGGAACATCATCCCACCCTAGAAAAAGTGATTTCAGAAAGCCTGGTGGAAGACTTTACAATATCATGGCACAATCCCCCGCATTCATATTGATTTACCAGCCCTACACTAAAACACAACACCATGACAGCACTGTGGAAAACCTTGCCCATCCCTACCTCCCATGACACAATCATGGATAATGAACAAAAAATATTTGGAGGCAGCTCTTTATGGTAGAAGAAGACAGTGTGGTGTGAGTGTGTCCAACACATTTTTTCAATTTTAAAACTCATTCAAAACCCTGGACCAATAATGTACATTTCTAATGGGAGGAATACAGGTGGTGTCAGACGTCCATAATGACCAATCCCATCTGCTCCTCTCATCCCCTTTAAAGGCAGCAGACAGTTTATTGGGCCGGGAGGAGACTCTAGACTTACTTCATGGAGGAAAGAACTGTTCCTGTCCAGCAAGGCACAGATTCTGTAGAAAGCAACACAGATATGAATATATAGCACCCCAAATATTATCATACAACTTTCAGTGTTTTTAGGGGCCAAAGATGTCACTTTTTGAGTTAAATGTCCACTTTAGGTAACACAAAAAATTCTCAGTGTAAGTAGCGATGCACACAGTTATTCTAGGAGTTAATTCAATCTCATATCATCATAGCAACTTGTAGTGCAGTAAACTTTATTTATATTCAGCTGTTACCTTTATTTTTGTTAGCTAATTATTATCCAATTTGGTGAGGTGTAAAAAAAACTCCACACACATAGGGTGGGAGGTTGGATTTTTTTGTCAAGATGTGCGCTACAACCAATTGAAGTCATGAAAAGATTGCTCTTTGCAATAACATGTGGTGTGTGCGAGATTGATTTATGAAGCATATCGGCTGATTTTAGCTTATAGCAGATATATCGTATTGGCCAATTAGTAACAAGCAACTGCAGCACCAAAAAGGTGCTAAGTGTTTGCAATAATTTAGAAACATTGTCGTGTGTGTTGCCATTACATAGCTTGTCCAGCAGAGAGCACTGATAAGTTTATTTTTAAAACACAGAATGTACAGCTCAGTACATATCTTGGTCACCATTATTTGATAACTACGACGGAGTATTAGGGCCATACTACGAAAAACATTTTTTATTTTTTGGGGGAAATTACGAGAATAAAGTCATAATATTATGAGAATAAAGTAGCAATTTTATGAGAACTGTCAGCCTGTTGGCTTAGCCAGCAAAACTGTATAACTACGAAATTATCAATACGTTAGCTTACCTGTTGATGACTGTACGGTACCGCTGAGAAAACAGCGGCTGCTGGGCTCAGGCTGAGGCCTGCTGTTTGGTTGAGCTGGTCACGTCAGATATTGATTAACTTATCGAAGCTTTTTTCTCAAAATTAAAACAACTTTATTTCTTGTATATTATTACATTATTCTCGCTTACATTACGACTTTATTCTCGTAATATTATGACTTTATTTTCCGTAAAATTTTGTTTTTATTTTTTTTCCAGAAAAAAAAAATTTCTTTTTTTAAAAGTCTGGGCCCCTTAAAATAACCCCTCCGCCCCGTTCCGTAAGAATTTAAAGCAATTTTTTTTTAAAAAAGGACCCCAAAATCCCCCTTAAATTTAAAAAAAAAACCCTTAAAATAAGTTCGGAAAACTTACAATTTTTAAAAAATTTTTAACCCCCTTTTTTCCCTTCTTTTTAAAAAAATCCCAGTCCCCCACTCCCCCCCCCAACTGTTGTTGTTGTTTTTTTTTGCACTGGTCCCCCAAAAGCAAGTCCCCTCCCAAAAGCAAAAAACTTTTTTTCCATGTTCCGATTGGGAGAAAAGTTTTTTTTGTTTACCATTTTTTTTAAAAAATGGTCCCCGGGGCCCCTTTTCCTTTTTTTTTTTTTTTTCCACCCCTTTTTGTCCGCTTCTTTCCCCAACAGCAAACTACCATTCCCTTTTGGAACCCTTGATTGTCCCGATGGGGTTCCGCCCAAAGCTTTTTAACAAAAGCACCCCCAAAAGCCAAATAAAAAAAAAAGGGGAACTCAGGTTGGAAACCCAATTTTGGGTTCGGTTTTTTTTGGTGAAGAATGTTTTTTTAGTTTGGTTGGGGGGCAAGGGAATTGACAGGGGGGAAAAGGGTCCCCCAAGCCCCCCCCCCTGAAAGGGGTTCCTCCCAAGCCAAAAAAAAATGGAAAGGGGCCGTGGCGCAGGCCAAAAAAACCTTGAGGAAACTTTTTCCCCCCTGCTTTTTTTTTTCCTTTGGGGGCCCCAAAAAGCCCGAAAAAAAGCCCCCTCCTTTCAACCCCAAAAAAACCCCCAAAGCCCCAGAAAAGGCCAATCCAGAGCCCCCAAACTAATGGGGAAACCCACCCCTGCCCATTGCCTTCCCCCTTTTTTTCTTTTTTGTTTTGTTTTTTTATTTTTAACTCCAAGAAGGAGGTTTGGAGTTTGCCCAAAAAGGGTTACCATTACCTTTTCTGGGGTGTTTTTTTTTTTTTTTTTTTTTTTTTCCCGCTTTTTTTTTTTCCCCCTTTTTACAAAACGAGCTTTTTGCAAAAAAGAATTGGCCCTTTTTTTTTTCGTTTTTTTTTTTTTTTTTTTTGCTCTGGTTTTTTCTTTTTTTGTACTTGGTTTTAAAAAAATAAAAAACAAAAAAAAAATAAAACCCCAATTTCCAAAATCTTTGTTACATATTAATGTTTTTTTTTTTTTAAAAACATTTTTTGGGGATTTTAAAAAAGGACCATAATTGCCAAGAAATAAAAACCTGGGAAAAACAGAACGCCCCAGGTCCCCCCCCAAAGGGGTGGGATCCCCCCTTTTTTGTGAACAACCTAAAACAAACAACCAAAAAAAAACCCCTGGTTCAACCTGCAAAAATTTAGGACTTTTTTTGAAGAAAGGGGTCCCAAAAAAAGGTCCCCATTGAACCCCCCTTAAAGAAGGAGGGAAAAAAAGAATCAAAGAGGGGCCCCAATTTTTGTTGGCAAAATGTTGGGGAAAGGGCCCCCAGAAAGAAAAACAATTCCTTTTTTTTTGAACAGGGAGGAAAGGACAAGGGTTTAACCCAATTTCTTTTTTTCCCCCCCCTTTTTTATATGACAAGTTCAAAAACACCAAAAAACTGGTATCCAAACGGCTGATCAAAAAAGCTTTTTCCCCCAAAATACATTGTAGGCGGTTTTTCCCCACCAATGAATGGAAACAACTTAAAGCCCCCACAACCCCTTTCCAAAAATCCCCCACTGAAGGGGAAAAGGACCTTTTGGGTTTTTTTGAAAAAAAATTTTCCCCCAAAAAAAAAAAAAAAAAATTTT